ATTTATATCAGAAGAAGAACAGAATTTATAACTGTGTTATTGAATTTAAAGATGTTATTAAATACATGTAACTATTTAAATAATAGTTTATTAGATGCAAATAGTTCTTTTACAGTTTATTTATATTCTCAGGTGGAGATGGTGTACAGTTTGCTGTCCATGTTAGGTGCTCATAACAAGGAAGACATGAGTCGGAAGTTGTTGCTTATGTCTAGTTCTAAGGAAACCTGTGTTGCTATGAGACAGACAGGTGGGTTGTACAGATTTCTGATAACTTAGTTTATATAGATAGATAGAAATACATAGTTTGTTTTTTAATTTGGTAATTTTTAAAAGCAATACAAAAAATTATAAAGACTAAGTCACTGTTGTATATGGGTGCTGTTGTAGACATACTGTGTTTTTAATGGAACTAAATTAATTGTATAGCAATTTAACCCTATATACACAGTTGTGGTTCAAAGTGCACATGTCATGATGGCTTTTTACAGTGTTGCATACATAACTTAAACAATTTTATTAACAATATATATCAATAAATTTTGCATCAAAACATGGCTTATGATTTAAAGTTTAATATTATAAGTTTTTTTAATGTCTTAATTTGAAAAGGAAATATTTTGCTATTAAGAGTGCCAAACTGATGTCAATTTGCATTTTGTGAATTATTATGTTTTATTCAATGACACTTGTTTGTTGATTGTAGGTTGTCTGCCTCTGTTAGTTCAGCTATTACATGGAAATGAAAAAGACTCCAGCTCTTCAGAAGAAGAAACTAACTTAATAAGAGAAACTGTACGACAAACTCGCAGACAAGCTAGCCTGGCTCTTCATAACATTGTCCACTCTCACCCTGATGACAAAAGAGGGCGCAGAGAAGCAAGGGTTCTTCGTTTACTAGAGCAGCTTCGAGAATACTGCGATAACCTAAGGGATGCTGACACAAGTATTGCTAGTCAAAGTACTTATGGTATGATTTATATGTTTTTCACGTACAATTTTAATTGTTTTAAAATATTTTTGTTCAAGTTGTTTTTAACTTTTTTTTTTAGATTTGTATAATAAAGCAAAATATAATGTTATATGCATTCTATATATTTGTGTGAAATTAAATTTCTGAAA